TGACTACTAGTATACACACTAGCGAGTGGGATGTTTACAATGAACTATTATACTTTAGTTATTAAAATTTTTCTTTATCATCTTACTAGCCTTATAAGTTACCTATTTAACTTATAAGACTAGTACAAAACTCCTTTTCCTTATAATCTTTCAGCTCACAGTGAAGCTCATCCCACTGTTGTCCCTTATTATAATAAGGAGCTAGCCCCTCCACTGTACCAGTGTTGAGGAGAGGCTTGATTCCACTGGCCCTATAGGCTATAGTGTGACCCACATCCCATCAACTCTAGGTCACATAATAGACCAGAGCTGACATAATTAGACTCCAAAAAGGTGCAAGATTCAACATAAAACCAGAAAGGAAATACCATAATTCAGTCTAATTCAAGAAGATTCAAGAAAGGAAAAAGAGAGACAAAGATGAAGAAAAGAAGGGTGATTTTAGGGAGGAGTAGATCAAAGAAGCTGAAAACTCAACAATTTTTAAGCCTCTTGTAGTTTCACATTATCTCTCTGATTTCTATCCTTACAGATATGTAAATATTGTGAGTGCAAGAATTCATATCCACATCATTGCTTTGAGGTGCCCATGCCAGCCCCGTCTGTCTTGTCAATATTTTTTTGCAATTCTTGGATCCCGTGGAGCTCCTTTTTGTTTGAGGGGCAGCTTCACCACCAGTGCCTGGGTCAGGCAGGCTGCCTTCCAGTACTTTGTCAGTGGAACTTGGTTTGTTTTCCTAAAATTTTCCCACCTTCACAACATTCACTTTTTTTACCAAATATATCTTTCCACTATGCAGCTTGTCTTGCTTATTTTGCTTATTTTTCAATTTTTTTCTTTTTCTTTATCTTTTCTTTTTCTTTTATCAAAAGGGTTAATTTTTCTGGTTCCCTTTTCTTTTTCAGAGGGGGAGGGGGATGTTGTCACATATCTTTGGCCATTTTTGGGCAGTCCAAGACTGTACATCAGATTACAACCAGTCAAACCATTCTGCCCAAATCAATGAGCCACATCTGACCCCACAAGCAAAAAAAAATGGGCAAGTAAGACCAAAAAAATTACAAAGAGGGTCTTCACAGTCAAGTAGAGATAGGTATGAGACAATGGTGGACGTGGCCAAAAAAGGAAAAAGAAAAGTAGATTAGAGTGAATAGATTGCAACATCAAAAGTCATTGAACAGGATATCCAGGAAGAAGATATTATGTTGTTCATTACAAACACTGTTGAGTTTTCACCTCTGTTGCCTACTCCTCTCCAAAATCACTCTCCTTTTTCAACTTCTTTCTCTCTTTTTTCCTTTCTTGAATCAACCTGAAATAGACTGAATTATAATCAATCTTACCTAGTTTTTTGTTGAATCTTCTGCACACTTGAAGTCTAATTAGAACTCCTGTGGCAATTTATCATACAACTCTAGTTCTGAAGAATGATTTCTTTCTTTTTCTATTTTCATTATTTGATTCTTAAAAGCTGATTGTCTAGAATTAACGACTCTATTCATCTGTGGTTGAGTGTATGTTTTGTCATGATTAATATTACTAGTTTTTCTAAAAGAGACTGAGAAGAATTGTCTGGTTATTTCTTCCATGAACTCATATATTTCCTCCTCTCAGGTTTTATTCAAAACCATCTTTTTATTCAATTTTATTTCTACCACATTTTGATCACTTGTATGTAGTCTACTTAAGCTAGCCTAAATACAGTGAATAAAATAGCATTGGTTCTTTCACTCTTTTTCCGTGAGACTTTCCCAAAATAAGATAATCTCTTTTTTTGCCCTCAACCTCTTACACGCCTGAGTCTTAAAATTTCAACAAACACAATTGAGGGTATCAAGTGTGAGACTTTTTATGTTCAGCCTTTGCCCTGTCCTTATTTTTTCCTTCTGGATGCAACTCTACACACTTCTGAACGTTACTGAAAAATGGAAATGCTTGGCCATCCCAGGATGGCAGTATTGGCCCAATGTCTTTGTTCTCCTTCTTTGCTTCTTGTGTGTATTTCTGAACCTGGTCTGTGGCAAAAACCAATTTGTCATCTACGAATTGGGCCTCCTCCTTTGCTATGAGGTTTTGGATTGCTTTCATCACATCAGTTTGCTGTACAGTTATCAAATAGATGGTTGTCCAGATAAGCATAACAGAATTTCATAGGCTGATCAAGGACCCCAACTCCTTGCATAATTGTAGTGTATCCTGCAACGTTTTGCTCCACGTTCACATGTGTTGATTGTCTTGAATTTTTGATTGATCAGAGTGGCAACGTGCTCCCAACAGGAATGCTTGAGTGGTCCAGAAGGTTCTGATGCTATGAAGTAAATGATCACTTGGGTCTCCTCAGGCCAAAATCTTGGCCTCTGCTTGTGCAGCTTTGAGAGATCCAAGGCAGAGTGGTTATGTTCCGCACCAATCTTGTCATCTGGTTTCTGGCTAGGAGCAGGTGTCCAAGGTGGGCTCTGGGGTGGCAAAATTGGAATTGCTTTTCTCTGCTGCCTTTTCAGCAATTGTGCGTGAGGTTTTTTTGGATGCAAGGAACTCGTTGCTACAGTCGGCTCTGTGGGCAAGGTCTCCATCTCAACATCATCAACCGGGTTGAATTCACAAGCTGGGTCATCTGGCTTGGCCACGGTCAGCTCCGTGGGCAAGGTCTCCATCTCAACATCATCAACCGGGTTGAATTGGCAAGCTGGGTCATCTGGCTTGACCAGGGTCGGCTCCATGGGTAAAACTTGTTTTGGATAGACAACAACACTGTCTTCCAGTTCTCTGCAAAAAATCTAATGGTAAAGGAAGAGTTGAGCTTTAGGAAGCAACTTCCACAGGATGATCATTTTCCATAACTGACCATCAATTTCTTGTGCTGAAGAACAAACCTCATCAAGAGCATTGCACTTGATTTGCAATAGAAGAAGCCAATCATTGGTAAATGTGATGCATATGAGTAGGATAGTGAGGAGTGAACTAACTAACCAGTAGCTGGACCATTGCTGGGTCCACGTCTTCACTTGTGCTGGAAATAGGTGGTTGTGGGTCCACCTCTTCACTTGTGCTGGAAATGGATGGTTGGTATGGATGGACTGTAAGTTTCCCACCTTCACAGTCCAGGTCCATGGGAAGTGGCATTGTCTTCAAGTCTGTGTAATCCCAATCAGGGCAGTACTTGGCCGCCATTGCACAGAATTGGTCCCGTGCAGAATTCATGTTCTACACAAATTGAAAGGTACAGACTGATCAGTGTTCAAAGTGAAAGAAGAACCAGAAGGATGATGATGAGGGAGAAAGGACAGACATGATAAGAGTGAATTTTTGTTTGTTCTGAATGTATTGGCAGTCCTCTCAAAAACAGACCTGTCAAACCAAATAGATCAAACAGTTTATCAAGATCAGTTGGAATCTTCATTAATGATTTTTGCATTCATAAAGAGACACCTGGGGAGTAGTGAGATGAAAGAGGTTAGGATACAACAGCATAGTTTCATGCTAACGCAAGGGGTGCATGGCAAGAGATCCAGATTGATGGGGGGTGGGTTGCCAGGATCCATTGGATGGCAACTGGATGCATTTTCAAGAGAAAATTCCTACATGATTTGATCTGATGGTTGTATGGGCTTGTAGTGGTTGCAGATTTATTGTGTAAGCAAAGCTGGAGGAAGTTGCAGGTGAGGTAATCAGCATCAGGCAAGAAGACTTGAAGAGAGATAGGCATGAGACTTACAAAAGAGTAATCTCTTGGTCAACTTGGGTGAGATAAAATAAGAAGGGAGAGGTGACTTCCTTAGCTATTGCAGCTCACAAAGGAGAGATCACGTGTCTGTTCCACAGGGAATGGTCAATACCATGGCTTTTCTCTATCTTGGCTTGAGGTCTATGCACTTACTTTGACAGTGTTGCAGTGTTCCAGAATGGGTTGTAACAATATACAAGACTCCAGTGATATGGGTTTATTTTGATGTCTGCTCATGAGTTGCATTGTCAGGTCTCTGATTCTCTTTGAACACTACCAAAACTACAAAACTCACCTGAGTGTATTATTTGATGGCCTCAATTTTGTGCAGAGTTCAACCCCAAGCCTTTTGATAGTGAAGAGAGGATGGCGTAGGGATATGAAACACGCATTTCTTTGTGCGTGGTTTGTGATTACCAAGACCAACTGACAACTGATTGGAAAATGGCCAACAAATGAGGTCAGTGTCAATCCCTTCTCAGACAGAATGGAGATAGAGGTGAAACAAATACAAAACTATCTGACTGGAAGAACGGTGGGAGGCCAATAGGTCCTGTATTTATCCTTTTGGTTTTTGGAAACCAAGCCAGTTGATGATGATGAGCTTGAGTAAAACGCCTGGTGAAATTCCAATAGGAAATAGTTTCCACGATGTAGGAGCATCCAAGATAAAAGGGCAAACGTTGGTCAATCAATTCTTCAAGCGGATGGACGTAATGATAAACTTTAGACCACAGACAAGTTTACAATATAGACCAGATTCCTTCCCGTCCAACGGCGAGTTTAAAGCCCCACTGAAAATGAGGATGGTACTGGGGAAAAATAAAGATCTGCTTTATAAGTGTTAGTAAGCAAACGGTGACACTCTATGGTGATCCTTATACAAGCGGTTAGCTACCTAAACGTCCTGGTTCCGGTCTTTCAACTCGATGGCTGTAGCTGGCTAACCGTGATGATGATGACAAACTAGGTTAAGAAAAGAGGAAACTGTATGATTCTCCTGACTATCACAAACATGTCACGTACCTGTTCTCAGCAATCAGGAGTGAGGGTTGAAATCCATTTTGATCAGACCAAAGTGGTAGATGTTGTGAAGTCGGGAGTCCAGCAGTTGTATGCACGTGGTTGATTATGACGTCACTCAACTCAGAAATTTAATGTTAATCATTGGGATGATGATATCTTTAAATCACTTTTTTTCAGGGATGGGGTGATGAAGGAATTTTACTGTTAATCATTGGGATGATGATCTCTTTAAAATTTCTTTGCCCCCCCCCTTCCCCCCAAACAAAAATTAATTAATATTAATCATTGGGATGATGATCTCTTTGAATGTTCCTCCTTCACCCCCCACCCTCATATGAATATTCTTCCTTCACACATGTTCTTCACCTTATTTCAATAAATTCTAAATATTCACCTTCTGATCCATTTTCATGTCATACTAATCATCTGCTAATTCTTCTTAATATCACAGTGCTCATCAAGCATATCAACAACAACAAAAGCGGAAGAACAATCATGCTTATCAAGCTTGCCGGGATGCTGAGAGGGCAAAGCTGTTTATATCTTCATTACACCCAGATACTAAAATAATAAAAAGAGAATACAAAAAATATGATCTTTACCCAGTCAGAGCTGCTAAAGATGAAACTACTGCAGCTGTTTGAGAAACCCATCCAACCCCATAGGAAGTTGAGGCTGCGGAAACTGCTCTTCTTGATCCGGATCAATTTACGCTAATCAAGGATGGCCGCTTAGTTCTATATGAGAAAGACATATCTGTATTAAAACCAGGTGAAAAAAGGAAGCACAAATTTATTGCCTACATTGATTTCACCAGTTCTGCCAATTTATCAACTGAAGACGGTCCCCACAATATATCAACTATACAACTTGAAAACCTTAGCTTTTTATCTTGGTTCTTATTTCAATGCCGCAATTACATCTCAACTGTTCAAAATCTCCCCAAAATCTTTTGTGGTTATATGTGGACAATTGGATGGCCTAAAAGTCAGATTGAGGGAGAAATGGCTGGTCAATACGTTGACACTGGAAAAATCAGTTCCGATGCCCATGGTTACAAGCAAAACTTAATGGAAGCATTTTGAGCAGGTGATATTATACATGATTTATTCCATTCCATTGCTGATACAGCTGTTCTAGGCATGAAGACACTTTTGAAGGATTGTGGTCTCCCTGGTTTCAACCATCTCAACTTAGGAAACAACCCAGTTGACACCAACATTGCATCCAACTTGGCATTCACCATGAATGAATTCCCCAATTGTCCACGTGAGGATTGAGATGTCTCCAAACATGCTTTCTTATTCCTTACTAATGTTGATAAAACCACTGGTATGTCAAATCTTCATAATTCTTTATATTCAAAGTGTAATGATATGAATTAATAAATAAATAGGTGAAATTGAACTTAATAGCCATTTGGATCCAACTTTCCAAGGACCTTTCTTTGTTCTTCCTGATCACCAAGTCGCTGTGGATCAGAGAAAATGAGATAGAATTTGTAGGATTTTTTTTGCTGCCGGTGAATTCCGACACTGTACTCATAATGAGAGGCTTACACCTCCATGGGCTTTTCCCTCCAAATTACTAAAACCTGTATTGACACATTCCAGAGGATATGTAGTGGCTTTTATGATGGGAATTTAACAAAATTGGGAAAAGAATATTACATTGGTGATTGTAGTCATACCTTAAAAAAGATCAAAGAAGATCACAAGAACTTGTAATTATTTCATATCATCAATTTCTGAAGTTATTTTTGTGTTCAATCTCATTCTAAAATCTCTAGATACAAATCAAAATAGCAACCTCCTGCCCAAAGATGATGGAGCCAAGCCCCCTTATCCCTGTGTTTCAAATGAGGACAGCTCAACAGAATCAGACAACTCTCTGTCATCTCAACTCAAGGTGGCCACATCAACTCAACTCTGTAGAAGCACACCCCCCAAAGTCCAATCCCAATCTTCCTACTCTCCCTATGTCCCCTTCCCCAAATGTCTTTAGTGTTCTTACCAGGATACACTTTCACTCCCTTGTGGCTGCTTTTGATTTCCCAATATCTGATTTCTACATGAGTACTTGGTTTGGTATAGCTGTGGTTGATTTTTCTGTATTACATCTCCCCAACTCATGAATCACACTGGAGATGAATCTGTGGCAATTTCACATCTTTCTCAGTTTTTTTTCTTGTCTTCCTATTCTGCATCAATTACTTTTCATTTATTTCTCTTCTGAGTTGAATATTCAGTCCCTCTACTCCTCTTGGGAATTGGAGGCCTCTTGGTTTACCCAGGTGATAACTATCTTTGATTGGAAGGGTTGTGTTCACTTTTCCAAAGAGCCATATATGTATAAATGTTACATGGTTCAACATTACTTGAATGATATGTTAGTATGTTGCCTTTGATTTAATTCCACCTTGAAGTTGGAGTGATGTAAACACCATGAGGGATCTCTTTATTCACCCCCATACAGTATAGCAAGGGTGGAAATTTGGATTGGCCAAGGTCAAATGTAGTTCACCCCAGCTAATTAGTATTTTTGGAAGTTTTGATGCTAGGAATGTAGCAAATAGCTTGATGCAATGAGAAAAATTCACTGATTATATTGAGTCACTTTGAATCTCAACTTTCCCACGGTAAGACCTCCAAAATCAGGGATCAAATTCACACATTTTCAGAACTTTGCATCCAATTTCCTTGGCCATTTATTGGGCTACAACAAATCTGAGAATATGGTCTGAATAGTCAAATTATTATCTTTGTTAATTTTTCAAAAAAAAAATCTCTCAAAGTTTCCAAGTTGGGAGCTGTCAGCCTTAGAGCCAGCCAAGCTGGCCAAAAGAATGCTTAAGTCCTCCTTTTCAGATATGTTTCTACTGTAACCATTTTATCTCAAGATTTTATTAAATTCTGACTTCAGAAATGAATTCCACATGTGATTTCAACCTTAGTCACCACTACACACTTTTACACTACTCTTCTCCTGCATAGACTTTGTAATATTTCACTGTACCTTGTGAAATATGAACCACGTTGGATCTCAGCCTATGTGATGCCAAGACACAAGTCTTCTAGCTACACAAGTTGCAAAACTAAGAGTTTTTATGGTAAAAACTCTGGGATAAAGAATGGAACAAGTAATTCAAAAGAATTACGTAGATTTTATGGATTAAATCAAAAATGTGGCCAATTTATATTAATAAAATTAATATAAATAAAACCAGAGGGGCCTGATAAATCAGGGGTGGTTTAATCCCTCTAAGGTATCGTGCAAAAAGCAGAGTATTTAGGTACCTGATACACTGGGGCCTGTAGCAGGTGTGGTTTAAACCCCAGGAGATAATTTTAAGGGGAAAATCTTCAAGAAAGGGTTATTACTTACTAGTAATAATCCTAAGGGGTCTTGAGGATCTTCAGGG